AATAAAGTAATCCTCCTGTTAGTCTGAATATTGACAACTGAACAATTGAACCATTTTCAATGTGGCTGCCAGCATTTTATAGAAGCCACTACCTGGTGGCACTAAACAACAACCAAAAGGCAAGGGCAATAACTACAACATTACCACTTCTCCCATTTCTACAGGGCACACAGAGTACATAATAAAAAATTTTATAAGACCTAAGTTAAATATTCTTTGGGCTCCATAATATGTCCAAGAATCTTGGATGAGGAACACCTCGTCTGTTAAGTGAGTCAGCTATTTGGTGACTTGTGTGCACCCATGTAATAAGAGACAGTTCTTTATTGATCAACATTTCACGCAAGATAGCCATCTCTATTTTAAGTCTTTTATCCACATTGCTAGAATCGGCTGATTCGCAAACACCTGAATTATCTGTTTTGCAAACAACAGAGATGTTATTCACAACATCCTCAAAACTGAACAATGCAAGAAAGAATTTCCTGTAGTATATACATACATCAGCCATGTCAATCATTGCCAGTGTCTCAGCAGCTTGTGCGCTCTTCACAACTCTCTTTATATGTCTCGACTCCCAGGAGATAGGCATGTAGTTGCTGTTACTACTGACAAGAAATATTACATACCCTCCCTAGGAACCTCCATAACTTAGATTAGCAAAGGAAGCATCACTGTAGGCAACCATTTTTAGTTGTCTTAAATCTTCCAGATCTTGTATGATCAGCTGAGATTTCTGCCTTTTTGGCTTTTTTATGGATTTATTGACTTGTCTAATACTTTCAATTTTCCTTTCTTTGAGAAAAGAAATGGACTCACATACATCAAAGCACAAATCTGGTCTGAGTGGCCAACCAATTTAATTGACCAATAAGCCTCTTGACATTGGTATATTTGGATTCTGAAAGTTCCCTTTCATTATTTTTATTTTGGATTGGTATGAATTTTAGACACAGTATAGCCATCTTGACTAATTCTCATTAATTTACTCTTTTGAGATATTTTCCATTCCCAAATATTTCAAGGTGGACTTTGCTTCAGACTTCACTACAAATTTCTTTCAGATCCAATCAATTACTTCATCTTGAAAAAGTCCAGTCCCAGCCCTGCAAAAATCATCAACATCATATAATGTCGTGCAATTGTTTGCCACAATACCAAGTAAACACTGCTTGGTCATATTTAGATACGGTAACTCCCAATTCCAATAGGGCACCTCTGACAGTCAAATACCATGATCTAGAAGCATCATTAAGAGCATAGGCACCTTTGCAAAACTTCCAGAAACAATTACTGGGTACATTAGCTTCAGGAGGTGTGGGGGTGGCAGCAAGATAAACATTCCTTTCAAAATCATTATTTTGTAAAAAGACAGTTTTTATGCTCATAGAGTTGCAAGTCCATCCTGAGGATGATATGATGGCTAAGACAATGCGCAAACCTTCCTTGGAACAAGTAGGGGGAATCTGTATGAACAGTTTTGGCTTCTTCATCCTGATATCTCCAAGTGACAACATTAACACTCATTGTTGCAATTATTTGTACTGTGTCTTTACAAAGTAAATTTTAACTGTTGGCCATCAGGCAATTAAGTTTCAGTTTTCACATGGCACTATGACATGGTCCACTTGTTTTTTTTTTTATTTTGGAAATAATTTTTGTAGATTAGCATACCTTTAACCTTTCTGAAGCCATAACAATTGTCAGAATCAAAAACTACTGATTTTATTTTTTATTGATTTAGAAGTGGGTGTCCTGTTCATAATACTGATAGTGTGTTGTAGAGTAGTTTTCACAGTGGAGGCTTGTATTTCGCTAAGTCGGTCCTAAAAGGGTCCGAGGTACAAAACGTTAGGAACTTGAAATAATAATTAATGACGCAGCAATCTAGTTGGGGTGGTTGATACTTCAATGTCCGACATCGACTGACTCACTCAACTCCACTGAGCTCAACTGGCGACTTCTACTACTACTACTACTTATTATGTGTGGGAGAGTCTATTAGTAATAGAATAGGTATAACAGAGTGTAAAATCAATCCCTGACTTTTTAGAGAGTTATCTGGACTTAATTACAAATGTCAAGTTTGAACTGTGCTCACATCTGATATATGTATATTTTTCTTTTTAATTTTCAGAATATTGAAAACTTTTTCTTAACTTTTTTGATAACTTTTTTTTGGGTAGTTTGAAAGCACCTGCACAAACTTTGGTAAATAATAATTCTTACATACATATTTTTATTAATTTATGTAAATTTTTGTTCTTTAATTTAAAATGTATGTATCCAGCTGTTCTTTATTTAAAAGATATATTTATATTAAAAAAAATTCTAATTTCATATATAGAAGAGCTAACGCCAATAACTCTTTTACACTGAATTGATATAATAAACAGGACCCCACCACCATTTAAAATGATCAAAAAGCATCAATATTTTTTTTTAGTTTTCCTAATGTAATAGCCCGAGAAAAATCTAAAGAACGATAATCTATAAAACTTATTTCCAAAAAGATTTTCCTTATTTACTAAGATTGGACCACTTTATTTAAGTAGTCCCTTACTCTTTATGTTCCTTTAGGATATGGGCAATCTTATATTTCTACAACTTCCCATCTTTTATTGCTTGCTTCTTTATTACCTCTCTTTATTTTTGTCATACTTCATTCATTTGTTCAAACTTATCAAGTATGTTACTTACTACTTTGCTTTGTTTTTCATGTCTTTGGAAACATCTTGTGGGTGTTAAAGTCTTCAAACTTTCCTTCCTTATTATCCATTTCCAAAATTCCAGCTGTCTTCTGATTGTTAACAGTAGTTTCTGTGTAGTTCATATTCTTAAAATTATCCTGTTTCTCACCTGCTCTGTACATGATATTCTCAACATTCCCTGGGAGAACCAGATTTTGGTTACCTTGAGTCTTTTATTTAGGATGAAAATGTCACCCATTCTTAGAAATTTCAATTGTATTTTTCTATCCTAAGCACAAGTGCCTTTTTCACTTTCATTTTCCTTGAAACTCTCTATTGCTCACATGCCTTGTTTATTGGATTCTTGGCATTTGTTGGTAGAAACAAACCCCTATCATTTCAAGTATCTTTTTTTATATATTCACTGTCATATATTCTGTGCCATGTCACTTTAGGACATTGATGATCATGGACCTCCACAATTTTCTGCCGCTTGTAATCTTACTTATTATAAAACACAGATTGTGTGTGTGTGTGTCTGTTCGTTTATATATTGGATCGGATTTCCTACATTTTTCAACCGATTTCAACAAAACTTCACAGGACTATGTAAAATTACCTTGCGGTGGTTCTGACAGTGCCCAAAATGGGAAAAACACAATTGTTTTTGCACAAAATCAATTTGAAAACATGATTAAGAGGCATCCCAAGAGTGAAAGGGGGACAACTCATATTGAGTTATAATTATTATAAAAACCCAGGTTGTTTGTGTGTGTTCGTTTATATATGGGATCGGATTTCCTACATTTTTCAACCGATTTCAACAACACTTCACTTTTCTTTTTTTTTTTTTTTTTTTTTTGCAGGTAGTGTTTCTTATTGTCTTGCACACTTTTTTCTTTATTTTTACATTCAGAATGCTTTAAAAATTCCATTTATAAGACAATTCTTTATAATAAAATTCTATTCAATCGGTAGACTCATAACGATTGAAAACAATGTTTTTGTTTGAGTTTGGGTTTGACCAATTTAATAAAAAAAACAAACCAAAAAAAAACTAATTAAGACATGCGTGTCCGTCAACCTTAAACAATAATCTTTGTCAATTTTATTTTTCAGTCTTTATGATGGTCGATACTTGATCTATCTCTTACTGTTACATCCCCAGGCAATGCCGGGCTCTACTGCTAGTTCTTAATAAATTTTGTCTTTTTGTTATATCTCCTAAACTTTTTTCTGTCATTCATTGATATATATTTGCTAGGAAGGTTATCTGTTGTTTTCTTCTGTCCCTCTTGCCTTCAATCTGTGCATGTTCTTTTTGTTTCCATTTTCTCAAAAACTTTGCTGTTGCTCACATGTTCAGTAGGTAGGTTATTTTCTTTTATTAATATTAAATGGTTGCATCATCTCCTATCAGAGTTCATGTAGCATATACTTACAGTACTATTTCACGTAATAAAATGAAAGGTAATTCTTTAAGTGAATCAAATTAAGTGAATTTAAAGGTAAAAGATGGTGAAAAGTGTGACACAGAAATCAAGAGGTGGATAGAAATAGTGAAAGTTACCTTTCAGACATTGAGTAATATATTAAAGGATTAGAAAATGAATAAATAATTTCTATAACAATAAAGTCAGATTAACAAATTAAACTAACATTGAAAAAAATTTAAAAAAAAACAATAATTCAGATAAAAATATTTTACAAATACTATTAAACTGTGAATTGATAGGTGTGTCTATTAATAAAATCTCATTCAATTTAGAAACAAAGATACTAAATATATTTCACAATTCAAAAACTATAGACACCACAGATGTACGTAAACATGAAATGGTACTCACTGGCACTTGAAGATGTTGCACTCAAAATACACCAAAGAAACCCAATACATACCTATACTGCACAACCCAAGAAAAATTCTTTGATAATCATTTATTTATACATCCCTTCTATGCTGTTTACCCCCTAATTAGTGATTGGTTGATCTCAGGGTTGCAATTTCATGCTATTTAAGCAGGCCTTTGTATAATTTAAGGGAGACATTAGAATGCATGATGATCGATTTTCAGTGTGAAACTTATAGTCATGTTTTATTACTGTTTTTATTGTGTTCTTTTTAGTTTAACTATATATATTTCCTGGTAACCTCTTTTTCTTGAATCACACCACTGCGACAAAAGAAGAGTCAGCGACATAAAACTAAACTGATCTCCTCCAACTGCTCAACCATTTGCAGGGTACCAGAATTTATCTGTCCCAGTGTGTGCTTCAGCAAATATTGTATTGCTTCTTGCACCATCATCATGTAGCCATATCATATGGAAACACTAATTCTTCTACAATCATTGAAGTTAAGCAACATTGAGCCTGGTCAGTACCTAGATGGGTAACCACTTGGGAATACCAGGTGCTGTGAGCTTGGATTTGTGAGCCAAGTTCCAATTCCATTCAGATTTATTATATTCACTTATGCACAAATACCCTTAGGTAAGATTGAATCCACATCTTTTTCCCCCAGCTATGGGTTAATTAGGACTTGTATCAGTAAACTATTATCTCCAAAAGATTCTTACAATTTAAAATATTTTCTGGCTTTAAATAACCTACAAAAGGTTGATAGGCCATAAAAAACATATCAATTAATCTTGTTATTTGAAAAGAAAAGCTCCTAATAACAAAAGAAATGAACCCCTTTCCACCACTTTAGATGTTACTCTCAATCTCTCAGCTGTTATTGTCAGTGTTTATTTGTGAAATGATTTTTAGATAGAATTGCTAGAAGTGCATGCATACATCTTTAATTCAAAATTTATTAGCTTTCTTAATTAATTTCTCTGATGTATCTTATTGCATTCCAATTTAAATCACATGTATTGTCATATTAATTATGACAAATGTGATTTTTAAATATCTAATTACTGAAATTGATCACTCAAATCCAATTAACCCTTCACCTAGTAGATGTTTAGGGATTCTTCTTCTTTATGTGTTGTTGACCCTTCATGATGATCATGGCTCTCCACCTCCTCCTATCTCTTGTAGCCTCAATAAGTTTCATCCTTCTGTCACCACCCCCAGATTACATTCTGTCATTCACTTGCTTAAGCCTGCCAGTTATGTCATGCATTGCTTTCACTTGTCTCTCTTTCCCTCTATCTGATCTATGAGTACCAGATTCTTCAGACCCTTCTTTCTTATTACATGTCCTAGAAACTTCAGCTATTCTTCCTGATGTTAAGTATAAACTTCCTCTTTGTTTGCATCCTCTCTGAAACCTCTTCATTGCTCTCATGCTCGGTACAATGCTGAAATGAATTTTATCAGACTCCAAATGATTTTACTTGGTTTTAGGAATTGATAATTATTGCTTCTTTCTCTAACTATAAACTAAATAGCAGGGCTGACTGAGATACAGGGGTTGGACAAAATAATTGGAACAGTTACAAAATCCACTCCTATATTTCAAAGACCTATTATATTAAGAACTTTAACTAAAACTTTGTAATTGCAGGTTATATCTTTTGTAAACACGTTTATTTATCTAATTTACTGTCTTTGTCTTATTTATTTTTAGAATTTAGTAAAATTTAAGCTAAATGTGTGACCTCTCCAAGTTCGAAAAAGAGCAAATTATTGGAACTCGCATGGCAGGAGTCTCAATCACTAAGGTTGTGGAACTGTTTGGTTTTTCAAGAGTTACCATATCAAGAAAACTAATGCAATTCGAGAAACAGGGCAAGACCTCTAGCAACCGTAGCAATTCGGGCCAGACTTGTACACTTACTGACAGGGCTTGACATACATTGAAATGCAATGTGGCAAAAAATCATCGGACAAATGCGGCCAAAGTGACTGCTGAGTTGAATAACCATCTGAATAGTTCAGTTTCTACTAAAACTGTTCACCATGAGCTCTATAAGGCTGCATATCATGGAAGAGCCGCTGTGAGGAAACCTCTTCTCTCCACTCGCAACATTCAAAAGAGGTTGAAGTGGTGCAGAGATCACAATGCCTGGTCTTCAGACCAATGGAAGCAAGTCATATTCTCAAACAAGTCCAGTTTTTCTCTTTTCCCAACTTCAGGGCATGTTTGTGTGGAGGCAGCCCAAAGAAGCTTACAACCCTGACTGCATCCTTCCAACAGTGATGCATGGAGTTGGATCAATGATAGTTTGGGTCACCATATCATGGAAATGTCTCAGTCCAATAGTTGCCCTGCATGGTAGAATCAACAGCAAAGATTACCTGAACATTTTGGGAGATCATGTTCATCCAAAGGCCAAGACTTTATTCCCTGATGGTGACTGCATCTTTCAAGATGATAATGCTCGAATACATACCGCTCGAGTGGTTAAGAATTGGTATGAAGAGCATGAAAGTGAGCTAGAACACATGGAATGGCCTCCCTAATCTCAAGATATCAATATTATTGAACATTTGTGGTGCATTTTGGAGCAACAAGTTAGGAGCCGCTATCCTTCACCGTTATGTTGTAATGACTGAAAATTCCCCTGGATGAAGTCAGGAAGCTGTATGATTCCATTCCTAGATGTATTAAAGCTGTCTGTGAGGCTAAAGGAGGACCAACTCCATATTAAATAAATTTTCTTTGAATTTAACAAGTGTTCCAATTATTTTGTGCAACCACTGTATCTAGCTCCTATAGCTGTAATTCTAAGCTCAAATTTCTTTTAACAGATGTTTGAACTTAAGTTGAAACTAAATGTTAAATGACACCTTCAGTTCCATAACTCACCCTAGCACCTATATACTCTGTGCCAATCATACATTTAATCCCACTGACCTTACTCTAAACTTACTTCCTTTCATTGTTAAAGTTTGGTAGGGATTGTATATAAATCCAAATAGGAGTGATTGGCACGGTTCAATCTTTAATAACAAAGTTCAAATTTAATTGTTTAGTCACCTTGCTAAGTTAATGAACAAATTGCAAAACCTGTAAATTTTTGGTTACAACAAATAGATAATTTTCTCATGCATGCCCTTGCTCTAGTAATCTTACTTCTACGATATTAAATCAGATGGGTGTGGGGAGTGTATATGCACCCTGAGCAACTTTATTTAACCACTTTCTCCCAATGCATCTTTTAGTCCTCATGTATATGTGTGAGCTAGTCTTGGTACCTTCGTCTCTGGCTGGTAAGGAGAAGATCTGTTACCTTGACTTCTGGGTAAACAAGACATATACACTCTGGGTTGCCTTGACTTCTGGGTAAACAAGACATATACATTCTGGGTATCATGCCTGTATCTTCCTGAGTTATTTGTCCCTTCATTAAGGGTGCTGGAAGCAGATGTTTTCTGGATTTTGTTAGAAACAAAGAAAAGTGTGCTGGATTGCTATGTGATATCCCTCTTGTATGGCATTGAATGCTGGACAATCTCCTCCCCATGGATGTGGATAAAACTGGAAACCGCAGAAATGTGGTTCTACAGAAGGATACTGAAAATTCCATGGATGTATTGAGTAAGCAACAAAGAAAATGCTAGCAGAAAGAACACTTCTACTCAGAATCAGGAAGAGATAGCTGAAATTCCTTGGACAAATAATGAGGAAGGAGGGCATGGAAAATTTAACTCTCACAGGACATGTTGAGGGCAAGAGATATAGAAGAAGACAGAAAGCCACTTATCTGATGAGCTTGTGTGTAAGGATGGTACAAGGGACAAACAATTTTCTTAGTGACATACTGGGGACAAGTTTTTTTTAAAAGCATCTGACAATCAGAGAGATCATAGTGATAAGTGGATTCATGCCTTTCCCAAAATACTGAATATAAACAGTTTTTATTTGTAGATCCCATTTCCTAGTTTTAAAATGTGCCGAATATTTGATAAATTTTCAATAATATAATAATAATCACAACCACATATACTGTAACCCAATCTGTCCTGCTTCACTTTTTCTTCAGTTCACAGGGTGAGGTTGTTCTCATTCCACTGTCACTGCCTGAACTTGGAATTGAACCCATTGAGTTCAGTCTGTTGGTCAAGTAGTAAATCATGCATTTGTTCAGTTTTACTCTGAACAACTACATATGATTTACTAAAAAATACATCAATGAATTCGAAGAATTAACTAATATGATGTAGTCGTCAAAGGGGAACAACTCTGCCCTATTACAGAGAAGAGTTACGGTTACTCTTGGTGAAATCGAGGCTTAGGGGATTTTACCGGAGTGGACAATATCAAAAATGTAACATTTGTAAATAAAACCAGACAAGAGATCCTTTTGACTAAATGTATTATGTTATTTGCTCACAAGTATTTTAAGTACTAATACAACATATGAGATATTCTTTGACACTGATAGTGGAATGAGAGCATTCTATTCCTGTGGATTGAATAAAGTGTTTGGCTTGAAATTACCAGAATATCACTGAATATAAAGGGTATTTGCAGAAGGTTAATGGTACAATAGATAAAACATTGCATCTAGAAAAACCAAAATGAACACAGATCAATGAATAACAATGCTAATTCCTCACCTTGGAAATGTTTTTTGCATTCAAAAATAAAATGCATGCAGATGCAATTAATTAAAAGTCTTATACTTTATTTTCCTGAAGTATGATAATTTTCTTCTTTTTATTTGATCCTGACAGTAAGTTGTATAAACAATGAATCAATAAGTAAATTCTGACGAGACTTGAACTCACATCTCATATCCCAGGAGATTGTTTTTCATGGAGGATGCCTTAACCAATTCCACTATTAATGTTAATATTAGCCATTTCCCTACAAGGAAACATTTGGCATTTATTGACCAAGCAGTCAGTACTTCTTTCGAATGAAATTTATAAATTCTTTCTCTTAAAACAATTTTTCAGGAAAATAGGTTTAACAAGTCCAGTAGCTTTTATTGCTCTTTCTAGTATTGATGGGGATTTCTTTTCTAACTTTTTATTTGATGTAGTGTGGGATATTAACATCTTGATCATGTCATCATTTTCTCTTTGAGTTACATGTGCTATCGATTTTAGTTGTGGCTGCTATTGGTAGTCATCAACTGATGTGGTTTCTGTTATTTGTTACAGTTCTTTGTGAATCTGTAGTGCTAGTCAACAATGTTTAAAGAAGGATTATCTTTGTCAAGGCCATCAAGCTTTATCTGCTCAAAGCTTTTTTTCATCATTGATCTTAGGAAGCAGTTGTGTGTACAGCTGACAGTTTCAACACTTAGATGGGCCCAAATCTACAGCCATGTCACTTCCGTTCTTCCTGCTATCGTCATTCTACTTAAATGGTCTGACCAAGAAAATTGTAATAAAACAAATTACAATAAAATGAAGTTGAGTCAAAAATGTATAATGAAAATACTTAATTTTAAAGTTTAAATAATTTAAGTTTAAATATTTTTTAAAGTCTACTCTTATGTAAACTTGGCCCAAAAAT